ACATTTTTATTGACCTCAAATTTGGCCGTATCTCAGATGGTGAATGTGGTAACTATTAAATAATTTCAATATTATTATGTTGGCCTTAGTAACAGCAGCGCAGCTGTAAGCACTAGTGCTTCAAAGCAAGGAAATCAGTTTGTCTTAGTGGAAATCCAGTTTATTTTTCTTGTGTTACTGAGGGTTTAGACTGAGGTTAGGTTGACTGAGGACATGACGTTTATTAAATTTAGTAATGGCTTTTAATACTTTTCACAACTGTATGACCACTGTCAACAGATGAGCAGAAAATATTGGGGTTTTTTTCCGTTTTGTTTTTTAGTAACAAGTAACGTGTACCAAAAATGATTGAAAGTTTGGACTCAACTGGCTTGGTGTCAAACACAACGATTCATTCTTCTACTACTCCTACTGCTTAATCCATTTCACTGAACTGGAGCCAATCCCAGCAGTCATTAGGCCAGGGTTGGTTCAAACTCTGTACACTTTGCCAGCCTGTTACAGGGCCACATGTCGAGACAGACCACCAGAGACCTTCGGTGAGAGGAAGGCAGACTACCTGGAGAAAACCAGGGGCGGTACAAACTCCATGAATTTCTTCAAGGCAAAAACAAAAAGCACCCTTTCACTTCAATGACGTAACGACAGGTGACACAAACCAGTAACAGCATTAATAAATGTTAATCAGCGCTCAAGCTTTGCTAACGTCTGTAATTCAATCTCACAGTTTTAATCACTAATGTTAGTTGTGCAGAATATGTGCGACTTCATTAGTTACAGCAGACGTTAGCCAGTCACTGCAGGGAGACAGCTGGTTCACTCTGTAAGTATTTCTGAGCTGAAATATTACTGCTGCCAGAACCTACTATTTCAATTCACTTCATGTCACTTCACATCATATTATACTAGTCTGTAATTATGAGGGGTGGGAGTTATTGTCTTTTCATTATTATTCTCAGTGAAAAGGTTGTTACTGTTTTTATTATTATTTCCTGGGGCTTAGATGAATCTTTTTACATCTTGGTTGTAAATAACACTAACAGAGTTGTTAAAAACCGACATTTGCTCTACTCTATGTTACAACTTTTATCTGAAGTTGAAGTCATTTCTAATGTAAAAAATGTAAGTATATAATGTAGTGTGTAACCATCCATTTTCATCCGTTTACCCAGCAATCTCCATAACAGCCACCCAAATCACACTGCACCGTCCAACCCCCCTGGACCTTCCTGCATCACATTTTTTATCTTGTGCATCGCCTAGTGGCAGCTCACACACCTCCATACACTGCATATATATACATACATATAAATATATAAAAGATAGTCAGACTTTGCATCCGACCATCTGATGTACCCCGCAGTAACATTGCCCCCCCCCCCCCCCCCCCCCCCCCCCTCCCCCCCCGACCCGCTTGACCCTTCATGTGTTTTTGGTTTAACTATTTCCTCTCGTCCTGACCTCAACAACACACCCCCTCCATCCCATTATCCCTGAGGCATGGTCTTGCTCTGTGCACCTCAACCTAGAATGGCCCTCTACCTTTCTGCCCTCTCCTCACTGCACCCTTACCCTTTATAAATATGTAGAAATGGTTGTGAAATCATGACAACCCTCCACAGTGCTCTATGAGTGTTTAAGTCTGTTAAATACACAGGTTTTACCTTTTGCCACCGGAACAATACATGTCTCCCTAAGCTCCATCTTATCAAAAGAATCTTGCCATGTACAAAACACAGTGGTCTTAGACAGACAGGGAAAAGGGGGGGAATTGGGGG